GGAAGTTCTCCCTCCATTTCTATCTTTTTGAATAAATTAAGTAGTATTGGCTCTAGATCTTCTTTAAATGTCTGATAGATCTAATTCTGCTATAAATCCATCTGGTCCTGGGCTTTTTTTAGTCAGGAGGTTTCCATTTCTTTTTGTGTTATGGATCTGTTTAAGCTGTTAATCTCTTCTTGGTTTAATTTTGGTGGTTCCCATGCCTTTAGATATCTGTCCATTTCTTTTAGGCTTTCAAATTTAGTAGCATATAAGTTTTTAAAGTATTCCCTTATAATGTTCTGTATCTTTCTGGTGTCTGTTGTGATGTTTCCCCTTTCATCTCTGATTTTGTTGATTTGGAGGTGCGCTTTCTTTTGGTTAACTGGACTAGCAGTCTGTCAGTCTTGTTTATGTTTTCAAAGAACCAGGTTTTGGATTCATTGGTTCTTTGTTATTGTTTTCTTTGTTTCAATTTCATTAATTTCTGCCCTGATTTTTGTTATTTCTTCTTGTCTGTTGGGTTTGGGTTTCGTTTGCTGTTGCTTTTCATGTGTGTTGAGTTGCAACGTTGAGTCGTTTATTTGTGTTCGTTCCGATTTTTTGATGTAGGCACTTAGAGCTATAAACTTCCCTCTAAAGACAGCTTTCAGCGTGTCCCAGAGGTTTTGTTGTGTTGTATTGTCCTTTTCATTTAGTTCCAGGAATACCTTTATTTCTTTTAATTTCTCTTTTGACCCATTCATCATTCGAGAGTGTGTTGTTTAATCTCCATGTGTTCATGTGGTGATTAGGGCTTCTTCCGGTATTGATTGTAAACTTTATTGCATTGTGGTCTGATAGAATGCATGGAACTATTTGTCTTTCAATATTTGTTGAGGTTTGTTTTGTGCCCCAGTATAAGGTTGATTTTGGAGAAGGTTTCATGGGGTGCTGAGTAGAAAGTATGTCCTTTGGTGCTTGGGTGGAATACTCGGTAGATGTCTGTTAAGTCCATTTGATATATGGTATTGTTTAATTCAGATGTCTCTCTGTGAACTCTCTGCCCTGTTGACCTATCTAATGGAGACAGTGAGGTATTGAAGTCACCTACTATTACTGAGTTGGGATTAATCTGGGTCTTAAAGTCCTGTAGTATTATATTTATGAAGTTGGGTGCACCAGAGTTTAGTGAATATAAATTTCTGATTGTAATATCTTCTTAATTTAGTGTTCCTTTGATCAGAGTGAAGTGGCCCTCTGTATCTCTTCTGGTTAGTTTTAGTTTAAAGTCTATTTTGTCAGATATTAGAATTGCTACCCCTGCTCTTTCTTAGTACCATTTGCTTGTTATATTTTTTTCCATCCTTTCACTTTAAGATAGTGCCTGTCCTTGAAAGTGAGATGGTTTCTTGCAGACAACAATAATGTGGGTTTTGTTTCTTAACCCATTCACCTAGTCTATGTCTTTTGACTGGGGAGTTCAGTAAGTTAATATTTAAAGTTATTAATGAAAGGTGAGTATTGAATCCTGTCACTTTTATTTGTATTTACATTCGTGATGTAGCTGTACTTTTCCACAGTTATACCTTCATTGAATTTCTTTCTGCAACTCCTTGGTTATAGTCATTCCTTGCTTCACCTCTTTGTATTGCTTTAAGAACTCTCTGAAGGGCTGGTTTTGTGGACA